GGGTGAGCAGGGGCCTGGCGGCGGTGAAGGTGTCAGGGTGGATCCCGGATCGTCAGCTGGCGGGCAGGGCGTTGGGGAAGGGGGAATTCCTGCTTCAGGCAGGTGAACTTGCCTGGTCTGTGGCAGGGCGGGCAGGTGGCGGCGTAGTTTGAAGCTGGCGGTGAACCCCTTGGTTGCCGGAGGTATTTTCCCTGCATCTTTGAGAGCGTGTTTGCTGTTGTTGGCCTTGCATAGACGGGATTGGTGGCAGCTGCTGACACAGGAGGATTCACATGATGATCTGCTAGATATGATCGCTAAATAGTTAAATCTAGCAAGCATTGGGTGAGGATTCTGTAGGATGTAGGATGAGTCCCTACTGCACGAGCAGGGGCTAAGTAAGCCAGCAAACGCCTTGTCTGTGTGGCCTGTCTGGATACAGGCTATTTTCATAGCTGTACTAGGAAGGTGCATAGCGTGACATGCAGTTCTCTACCTAGGCACCTCTTTGGCTGAGGATATGTAAAAAACCTCCTGCCCTGAAAGTTCAGACTCGCACTTTCCAGCAGCAGTTTAATAACTGCTTACATACAACTTTATTAAGTTGTATGTTTTATCATAGACACATCTTCTGAGCTGGCTGTTTGAAAGGAGGCTTCCTCTTCCAGCTCAGGCAGAGGGTTGCACGTATGAAATAAACAACTGGGTTTTCTTCTACTCAGGTGTAAAACTTCTGTTGCATGGTCTTTGCTCCAACACCACAGTCAAATCTTTGGATTTGAAGGTGAGTCTGTTCAAATAAAATTAAGACAAAGAGGTGGGGAAGGAAATAGGAGCACAAGCTTAATCAGTTGTTCTAAAAGATGTGTACTTGTGTAAAGTTCTTGTTCTCAGATGACTCAGTTCTTGCCTCCCTAGCACCATGTCACAACTTTCCAAGTTACTTTGCAGCTCATCTTTGTCTGGTTTTATTCAGTTACTCTGTTTTCATAGGAATTTATTTCTGTGTATCTTTTGTCAGTTGCTGCTTGGTCAGATGGGGCATACGTAGACTTTTCTTTGGGTTTCTGTATTACTCATTGTTTGAGTTGTGCTTCTGTAGAGTTTATCCAACTTGCCAGCATCTTTCGGCTAGCCTGGGGCTTGGAACTAAGCGCAGACTTTCAGATGTGATGATTGCTGTACTGTGAGAGGGACTTTCTGTTTGTATTCTTCTGGCACGTAGCTATTCCATTGAATCTACGATCCTAAACTGCATCACACCTTTCTTTCCTGTCTGTGCTGGTGCTAGCCGAGCCATTTCTAATGAAGCGTGTTGAAATGGTTCTGCTTATCTAGAATCAGGATTTTCCATCCCATCGTGGGCCATGCTGATCCTGTGCTATCCTATGTTTTTTGTGAGCTCTCAGTCATGATGCCTCACAAGACTAACGGTGTATGTATCCACCATCCCTCCTACAGTCTTTCCTTTTCTGGAAAGCTGACCGATATGTGAAACAAATGTTACTCAGACCATCTTTGACAGACTGAAATCTACATTACAGCTGGGGTGCACATGGTGCTGTTTAATGGGATAGCTGGATTGGAAAGGGCATAGCCTATTGATCACCTGGGAATTTTGTTTCAGGGAAATAACCTGCGAACCGTGGGAGCTGAGGCTTTGGGAAAACTTCTTAGGCAGAACAAATCCATCAGGAGGTAAAAAATTGTATCTACCTCTCTTTCTGTTATTCCTGCCAGATGGAGCACAACATTAGAAAAGGGTTGAGGGTGTGTTTTTTCTTGGGGTAGGAGGAATGTCAAGTGGTGCAATTTCTTATGAGGGATGGGACAGGTGAAGGAGTGAGACCTGGAGGTGCCCCTTCTGAGGATGCAGGGCCCTAGCAGCATCCTGCTCTCTGAAACTGAGTCTCTATTAGGGGAGCTGGGTGTTTGAGTGGGTACCATGATCCAGGTAACAGTCAAGCTCTTGCAACTGTCCGTTTACTCCATGAACTCTAATCCTGTCTGATTTCTCCCTAGCCTAATCTTGGAATGGAACAGCCTTGGCGTGTGGGAGGAGGGCTTCTCATTTTTCTGCCAAGGACTGGGAACAAACAACTTTCTCCAGCGGCTAGATCTGCGCAATAACCAGATCAACCATCAAGGGGCCGGAGAGCTGGCCGTGGCACTGAAACAAAATGCCAGCCTTCAGGAGCTGGGTAAGAGTGACTAGTTCTTTGTCTGCCTACATATACACGTGCAAACACACGTACATTTTCAGGTGCATTGCAGCCTGCCCTGCTCTCTGCCAATGGGTCAGTGTCATTTCCAATTCCTGTCAATCTGGAGTGCTTTGCAGGCTTTGTGCAGGGAGTAGAGGTCGCAGCCCCTGGAGAGTAGGAACTGTAATTGGAATTTCTGGAACCAAACCTGCAGATGAAGATTGTGTGCTGGGAGTAGAACAGTTCTTAGTGGAGGAGGGAATGGGCTCATTCCCATTTGTGAATGCTGTTGGCATGCCTCGTGCCAGACTCTGAGACTTGCTTTGTTCTTAGTAAGGAATTTTCCTAGGATTTCCTTCAGGAGAATGTGGCTCTGGTGCCAGTTCTTTCTCATCCACAGATTGTGGAAGGAAGGCTCATAAGATGAAAATGTAAGGGGCAGACTTGCCTACCCCTGAACTGCACTTGAACTGTAATGACTTCCTGCACTTTACTGCACTTAAGATTCATCCTTGCCTTTCCTGCTTTGTCTGTCATTTTCCCTCCCTCTCATTCATCTTGAAAAGGGAGACAGTATTCACCTGTGTTTGTGCTGAGACCATCTGAGATTAGTTAGCCGTGTTTGTAGATGTATAAGGAGAATGGTTTCTCTCGAGCCCTGTGTTTTTCAGCAGATGTGTGACTACCGGGGTGAAAGTTTGCTTTCTGTATAGATTTGCGTTGGAATAATATTGGGCTTCTGGGTGGTCGAGCTTTGCTGAACTGCCTGCACAGCAACAAGACCCTGAAGAGGCTGGAGCTGGCTGGGAACAACGTTCCTAGTGACATCCTGAGAGCAGTGGGTAAGTGTTACTTGTTGCATGGGAAAGACTTGGTTACTCCTTTCCTATTTCAGCACTTGAAGGGCATAGGGTGCTTGCTGGCCTAGAAGAGAGCTATCCCTCGTCCCCTCCCTTTCTCAACAGCATTCGCGCCCTCTTATCTTTTAATGAGTGCTGGTCAGGTTGGAGGTGTCACTTTTACCAGCAATAGGGAAAAAAGATAATTTATATTGAATTGGAGATGCATGTGATTGTGGAAGAACTTGGGTCTCTAGTTTGCCTCCGAGTAGCCAAGTTTGGATATACCTAATGCAGCATGTCCTTTGTCGTTGTCCTACCCACAGTAGACTTGAATGGCTCTCCCGTGGCTGGGGTGTTGGTTACCCCATATACACTGCTCTCTTTGATCCCACCCCACCTTGTGTCTGTAAGGTGAGAGCAATCTCTCTATGTGGGCCAGCCTAAGAAGGGCTATTGTCCTGGTGCTTCTGATACCAGATGTCATCCTGAGTGCTGTCTCTTCCAGCAGTGCTTGCTATTGTCTTGCATTAGAAACATGTGCATGCTCTCCTGCTCTCTCTGCATCAGAACAAGCCATGGATCACAACCAAGACCGTCAGACTATCCTAAGTGAGACCCAGAACCGAGCGTACATACTCAGCAAGGAGGTTTTGAGTCTGAAGGATGAGAAGACCAAGCAGGTCAGCAATCTTAGGTGTTGACAGTTCAAATGGGGCAGCTGGAATCCTGTGCTTTCCCTCAGTGCCCTCATGAAACACTCAGTGACAGGATTGTGTACCTGAAGTTGCCTGTGCATCTGTTTGGGTGGGCATACAGCATGGTTCAGTGAATTAGGTCCTTCCTCTGAGCTAGGTTGCCCAGGAATCGAATCCATGACAGTATGTGTATAGATACATGCCCTGGTGAACATATTAACTCTGGATTCTGGAGGAGTTTTGGTGATTATTTTTTTTTTCTTTTCACCCATATTCATGCTTTCATGTCTTCGTCTTCTTTTACAACTGGTTTGATATTTTCCAAGTGGTGAAAATCTGGAAATATGCGTCTGTTTGCCTTCTGACACCTAATGGTGCAGAGTCCTTGTAGTTGGTGACCTCAGTCAGATGTGCTAATGAACCTGTCAAACCTCCAGTATGTTTGCTTTCAGTAGAGTAGCTTGACCTGTCTTGAGTGGTCACTAGGAAGAGAAAGATGAGAAATTTAAAGGATTCAAGTTGATGCAGTTCACTTTCTCACTGATGTTTGCCTTGTTCACAGTTCTTGGATTTGATGGACACTATAGACAAACAGAGAGAAGAAATAGCTAAGAGTGGCAGGTGAGTTGAATTTCTGAGTGCTTTCTGCTTTTTGATAGCAGATTCAGACCCTCTCTATTTCCTGGCAGAAATTACTCACCCTTTTTTTTTTCTTTCTTTTTTCACCCCCTAAATGCAGAACGTCTGCAGCACGAGTCAGCCAGCTGCAGGAAGCGTTGGATGAGCAGCACTCCATTATGAATTCACTGAAAGCCAAGTATGGAGGAGGAAATCCTTAGCCTTCTTGCTGTCCTGTGCTGTATAGGTAGTGCTGAGCAGAGCTGTTAAAAAGAGGGATAATCTGTAGTGTGGCTGGCTTACTGTTTCACTTAGTTCTGCAGGAGTATCCAGAAGCTATGGTCAGATCAGGCTTTTGGGTTTGCCTTGCTAGATATTTAGCCTGTTTTTAAGTAAAATTACAGTGCATTGATGTAAGAGCAAGTGAATTACAGAGGGTGAAAAGGAAAAAAAAAAAAAAAAAAAGAAAGGATTGTGGGGATAGGATGGGATGGAGGCATGTTCCTTGCACAGTTTACAGCCTGGCAAGAGTCTGTACCTGCTTCCCCTGGCAGTTGACAGTATCCTTTGAGAGTCACTGCAGATACGGAGGAACCTGACCAGCAAGATTGTATGCTTAGGAACGATGAGGTGGAGCTGCCCAAAAGCAGTGTTAGATGTTGTAGAGCCATATGCACATGACAGTGGTTAGACTTCAAACACAGATGAGCCTGACTTGCTCAATTCTGTCAGGTAAAGGTAGTTTCATTAAGCCATGCCTCAGTGTGGACATGTCCCTCATGTACAGAGTAAGCAAATTGTTTCTGCTACCTGCGTTTAAAATTATATCCCTAATTTTAAACAACTTTGCAGTGGTATAAAATAGCCAGCTTTGTTCTTCTGTGAGAGTGGGCAAATCCTGGAGGGGTCGGGGTGGGGAAAACAGCTCATGGAAGACAGCACAGGGGAAACGCAATGGGGCACCAGAACACCAGGCTCTGAGAAGTCCCAGGTCACTCACTGCTTGCAGAGGCTGCTGGGTGCAGAGATAAGCAGTGTCCCTTTCCCAGGGCAAAAAAAAGCCTCATTTAGGTAGTCTGATTTCATGCACTGCCAAGTATGTGTTAACATCTTGTACCATGTGGTGCAGAGAGCTCACTGGAAGTGTCTCCCTCGGAAAGGACTCTGGAAAGTGTTTCTCTGTATAGGCTGCAGATGACTGAAGCTGCCCTGGCTCTGTCTGAGCAGAAGGTGCACAACCTGGGAGAGCTGCTGAATGCTGCAAAACAGGAGCAAACCAGCATGGCTGAGTGCCACTTTATGGAGCTCCAGCAGCAAAAGCAGGTGAGATGGATAAGTCCTAGTTAGGTTTGAGAGCAGGGTTCCAGGTCATATCTGGTTTGTGAAGATTTGGGGGATGCTGGATGGGCTAGGCAAGCATTATTTTTACCACTAGTGGGTTAATCACAGCTGCCATGACAAAAATTCTTGTGTAAACTAGATAGGTGAGTGCTTGGTGTGGAGAGGAGCAATGGTGTTCACTGGGTAGGATGGATTTAGTTGGGTGTGCTGGTGGTTGGAGTAGGTTGGCAGTGCAAGAACTAAGGTGATTTTGATTCTGTTTGCAGGAAGGCATTGATCGGGAAAGCAAGCTTTTGCGTGACTTGTCTGCTGCCAGTGAGAAAAATCTGCTTCTAAGAAACCAGGTAGGAAAGCAAGTCCAAGGCTGAGAAGCAGAACTTGAACATTGTTCGCTTCTGCTCTGTGTCCTCTACTTTGATCCTTTTTTATGTCTCTGCTGATTGTTCTGTACAGCCAACTTTCTCTGTTAATAGGAAAAGAAAATCCTTTGTGGTGGTAATTTCCTTGTAGGTGGATGAGTTGGAGAAGAAGTGCAAAGTCCAGCAGGATCAGCTATTCCTGGTAAAACAAGACTTGACCAACACAACAGCAGAACTGAAGCTGCGAGTTGTGCAGGCTGAGGGTGAGCGGAGGAGCAGAAACAGCTCATGGACACCTATGGGTTGGGATTACTGTCCATGAGTTGGTGATGCAAGGCAGTCAAGGAGAAAGGGTGGAAGAGTTTGTGATAGAGTATAAATACAGGCTTTTATGGCAATCTTGCTACATTGTGATATGCTCGTTTTTAATCTGCAGAACGCCTGGAAATGGAGAAGAGAAGATTTAAACAAAGCCTCGACGACATGGAATCCCTTCGGTTAAAAGAGGTAGGAATGGTGTTTCTGCAGCATCCTGAGGTTAGTCTCTCTTTGGTCCTGACCTACAGGTGCCACTGGAGGTCGTTGTTTGCTGTCAGCTGCTCTTAAGTTTAAAAATTAGTGGACTCAGACTTACTGTGGGAATCGTAGGCCTTTTCTACAAGCAAAGACATTCTACTAGCTAGTAAGATTTCGTAGCTTGCAAGAGTATGGGCCAGAGTGGTACGTGATTCTACAAAAGAGGCTTGGAGGCTGGCCCTTGTGTCAGACTTGCTAAGAGGTAGTTATGAATATGCAGTCTTGTCATGCTCACTGAAATAAAGATGCATTAATGGAGGAAATAGAGACATACATGCTATATGCAACCAATCTTTCAATGGGGCTCAGCTTGCTAGTTCCTTCTCTGTTATGTTTCAGGGGGATTCTGTCTGAGTGTGGACAGGACAAGAGGCTGTGATCAACTCTCTTTGGAGTGTTTATTGAGGTGTGAAATCTCTCAAAAATAGAATTATACCAATAGATTTCTCTGAAGATTTTGAAATCTTGTAAGAAAAAATATAGGCCAGGAAGATTTTTGCCACATTACAACTAGAAAATGAATCTCTGGTGTTTTGTACCACTTGAAGATGAGAGCTCGGACTCTGTATCTTTTATCTTGGCCTGGAAGGGATCTCTGTCTAAAGTTCCCAGTTTCTAGAGAGAGATTTCTATCTATATTACAGTTTCCTAGTGGAGCTCTGAGGGAGGTAAGATTTCTTCTTTGGTGGCAGGTGGGTCAATGAGAGGATGCTCTTTCTCATGCCGAATGGCCGTGCTGCTATGCCTGGAGATAGGCGTGGTTTTCTGGCACTTGCTTAAATGGTTCCACTGCTTTGCAGGTGGATCGCATGACACAGCACATTGAGGCAAGTGAACGTTCCATGCAGGACAGGATCCAGAGGCTGGAGGCCATCAGGATAGCTCTGGAGGAGGTGAGAATGCATGCTCCGGGCACGTCGAAATGCTCAGTTAACGGTGGCAGGAGAAGGCTGCCAGGAGAGCTTTGTGGAGTGTTTTCATTGCTGACCTATGTAAAGATTGCCGTGTGCTGCAGGGAGGAACAGAAGACAGCAGTTTACCAGCTAAAATTATTTTTACTGCTTTGGATTAAGGAAGGAGAAAGTTCCAGGGAAAAACTTTTAGATTCTGACTGAACAAAAATAAAGTTTTCATTGAACACGGTTAGATTCTTACCAGGGTTTGACTTCACAGGTTTCCCATGTGGTCCCAAGTAGTGTAGCATATTTCTCCTTATCTGTTCCCCCAGCTAGATCCAGCACTGCCCTCTCCTATTCCCCTGTCTTTGGAAAGCTTCACCCGTTACTTGCCCTCCTATAACTGAAATTCTCATTGGTATGTAGTCTGGGTTTGTTTTCCCTGCCCCTGAGTGAGAGAGACAGCCGTGTCATGTTGTAGCCCGCGACTGGAAGCTGCTGTTTCCTGGTCAGTGTTGCAGTGATGCAGCTTCTCCATTGGGAATGATCTTTTGTGTTTCTGTGGCAGGAGCTCAGCCAAGTCAAAGCAGCTGCACTCACTGAGCGAGGCCAGGCAGAGGAGGAGTTAATAAAAGTCCGGAATCAGGCACGGTTGGAGGAGGTAAGGACAAGACCTGTCTGAGGGCCCTGCCTCTGTGGGAAGGAGTGGATTTGGCTGCCTAACCTATGTTTTTGATTCTGGGAACTGCTGAATAACTCCCCACTCTGGGTTTCACTGGCCTGCAAATAGTGTGATTTCTGAGGAAGGAGTCCTGAAAAGTCTGTTTTGAATTGTCTCCAGAATGTAAGCACTATCCCCACCTACTCTGTGCTTTTCAGTAGTAACAGAATTGATGTGGATATCGTTATAGCAGATTTCATTTAAGTCGCCAGCTTTTGAAGCTAACAGGTAGATGTCGATCCTTCTATTCAACAGCAGCTTTTGTGGGCTGGTCCTGTTTCTCTGGACTCAGAGGAATTTCCACAGGTGGCTACTGCTCCTGGATAAAAAAAAGTCACTGTAGAATTGAACTTTGTGAAAATGGCAGCGAAGTCAACACCCCATGAAAGAGAACAAAGGATGAGGAAAACACACCAAAACTATTAGAATGTTTACTTATATGTAGCATTACAAAAGAAAATGCTTTACTGAGTTACAGACTGCCACGTGTGTCTGTGGTGGGACACAGCAGTTGATTAGCTGCATACAGCCGTGTTTCTGAACCATTTGGGATATGGAGGAAGATAGAGCATTAGTTGTAAACACCAGCGGTAGCATCGGTGCTTCTACCAAGGACATGCCTCTGTTTCTCAGCGAGTGAGCTGGGCTTTGCAGTGTCTCCATCATAATGTTTTCCCTGCCAACAGAAAACTGCTTAGGTTCACTCCTGAATGCAAGGGAGGAGTGCCGTATCTACTACGGCTAAGTGCTGTGCTTGTTCTTCAGTGCCAGTTGACTCAACTGAGGATTCACAGTGTTGGGAACAAAAAGGGGAGAATCCCTTCACAGGAATGAAGTGATGTATTTTCGTTTTCCTTTGTGTCTTACAGCAGCAACGACTAGAACACCTAGAAGAGAAACTGCGTCTGATGACTGAGTCACGGGATGAAGCTCAGAACTGCTGCCTTAAGCAAAAACAAATGGTTGCTGAGGCCCAGACCAAAGCCAATCAGTTGAGCCTGCATGCTGATGGACTCAGAAGGCGGCTAGAGGAACTTCAGCAGGTAATTTGGACTAGAGCAGAGATGTGGTCACCACAGAGGCAGAATGAGTTGCTGAAGTTGTTTTGTTATTCAATGATTTGTCTTTGTGTGTCAGGACCTTAACAGTAAAGAAGAGGAGAAAGTGACAGAGGTGAATAAAGTGAAAGTGGAATTACAGGAGCAGATTGGACACCTGCAGGCTGAACGCACAGCACAGGAAGGGCTGAGAGAGAAGATTTCAGCCCTGGAGAGACAGCTGAAAGGTGATGGATCCTTTCATGCTTCTCAAATGGTAATGCTGGGTTATGCTACGGTGGGCCTGGAACTGAGCTACGTTTACAGGTAGTGACAACAGTGCTTGTGTGTACAATTATGAATTGTACCCTCCATCCTGATGTATTTGTAGGGATTCTTGTCCTCATTTTATGGAGACCAAGACTCAGATTAACTACACAATGCTGCACAGCAAGCAAAATGTTTGGATTTTCTGCACAGTGAAGTGTAACATCTTGTCTGTGCAAAACCTCTCACATTGTCTCATGCAGCTTCTCTCGTGTGCCTGTTGATCATCCTGCTTCCACTGCCTTTTGCTGTGTCTGTAACGAGTTGTTCCTGTTTATTCTAGGGACACCCTAATTTTCTTTACTGATGCTGCTCTTCTTTCACAGCCCTATCAAGTAATCACCGTGAAGCACTGCTGGACAAAGAAGGTGAAATCTCTATGCTGCTGGAGAAGCTGAGAACGAAAGAGGCTGACATCTCCAGGATGAGGGAAGAAGAGGCCCAGCGAGCAAGTTTCTTGCAGAATGCCATCATGGCATATGTGCAGGGCTCTCCCTTGGGAACGCACAGTTCTAGAAAATGAGAGCATGGCTTAAAGAATCCAGATACCTGCTGTCAAGAAGAGGGTGAGCAACTCAGGTACAGCCCCTTCTTTCGAAGTGGGACAGTTTTGTCAGAGTGGGGTGACATGAAGGCTTGCAAACACAGAAAATTGCTCTTGTTCTCCAGAAATCTTTCTCCCAACCGCTTAAAGGAGAGGACCAGCCAACCATCCAGGGCTGGGATGGAGGCTCGTGGGTCTGACTTCATGATGTGGAGCCCTTCCCCTGCACTGCTACAGCGTTTGAAGTAGTTTCTGTGTCGTTTTACACAGCCCCAGTCTGTTGGTACACCCTGTTATTACCAGGGGGTTGGATGTTTCCTGGGCAGCAGTCCTTCTGAAGCATTTGTTTGGATGCCAGGGCTGTTCACCGTGAAACCCAAGAAATGACGGGCAGCAGCGTTTACAGTTCCCTGTAGGTGGGAGCTATTTACTTTGTTCGTCAGGTCCCAAAGCTGCTGGAAACACCAGATCTTACTCGTGTGCTTTTGTACCCAGTGCTTGCAGATGGAAGCAGTGGCCGACAGGGCTCACTTTGGCTCTTTTACCCTGCCCCCCGTGGCTCTGGCTCTAGTGATGGGCACCATTTATTATATATAGAAACAGCTACACAGAGGGACACTGCTGTGCAGTGGCTATACATGTCCTTGTTGGACAGCTGGGTGTTGGCCATGGTTCAAGCCTCCGCACCACCGACTGGCATTGAAAAGGGTGGGGTGCTGGGGGTCAGTGTCTGTGCTTCCTCGCTTGTGAACTGCAGCCCTTGGCTGGAGTTCTTGTGGCCAAAATGCAACAGGATTTCATTCTACTATGACAAATGGTAAAACTGTCCTGCTGGCTTCTCGGGATCCTGGAGCTGAGTGCTTTTTTCTGGTCCTTACCCTGGAGAGGAGCAATGCTTCTGACTCACCACTAAGGAGTTGCTTCTCAGAGCACAAAGGGGAAAAGGTGCTTGCTTTTCTTGGCAACACAGGTCCTCATGTGGCATGGAGAAAGGGAAGGGATGTGAGGGTCTGAATCGGAGAAAGTGGAGACCTCTGTCAGCCTCCCAGCTGACATACTCCCAGCAGTATGGGAGCCTCCTGTTAGTTTCTCCAGCGAGTCTGTGGTGGGAGAAATGAACTTGTGGTGCATATTTTAAGAGGCAACTGGAAAAAAGAAACTTTCTGTGTGGACTGGTTGGTTTGTGTTTGTGATTTTTCATACTTGGTTTTGCTCTGATTTTTTAATAAAGAGTTTTTGCATTTTGCCGTAACACGACAGTGACAAGCTGGATGTTTGGCTGATGTGGAGGGAGGAGGCTGCGGCTGTGTACCTTCATGAAGATCCTGCCAGTCTGTCCTGGAGGTAAAAGGCTGTTATAGGTAGATAAGCTAAGTACGTTTATAAATTTTGGTTCTCAGTTAAGGTAAAAGCAAGGAAATTGGGAACCTATGCCCCAGTCACAAGGAGAGGAGAGAGCCTGTGCCGAGAGCTAGATAGTCTGTGGATGCTAGGCAGCTCTGTAGACCAGCAGGCAAGGGAAAAGCAAAGCCTGTTGTTTTGAGACAGTACCACTCCATGAGTTCTCTCTGTTCTTGGCAGAGTACTGGGAGTGGTGAAGGAACCCAAAAGTCACCCTTATGCAGGATTTTTGCTGCTGTGTCTTTGTTCCTCAGCATCTCGAGGCAGATGACGGTGAAATCTGCGGCTACAGTGCAACCGGGTTTTAAAGCTCCGTCCTTCAGCGAGTGCCCACGCGGTGTGGGACATGTCCTCTGCACGTTTCTAAGTAGCACCCATCGTGCTGTTTCCGGGGGTGTCGTGCTCCCACCAGCCGATGGCTGCCCGGAGAAAGGGAAGACGGGGGCGGGCTGGATCCTGCAGCGGGGCGGGGGAGGACGGCGTTACACTTGCGCTCCGCCTTTCTCTTCCAGCGCCCTTTGCAGAGGGCTCCGCTGTCGTCGGCTGGGCCCGCGGTGGAG